TGAGTGCCTGCGGGCCAGGAAGTAGGAAGTCCTGAGGGTACAGGTAGGTCTTCCTAGCCTCAGGCACTGCCCTGGCCTGGACAGTGTCTGCTATAGACCTGTATTTGGGAGAAGCCTCATGGAGTTAAAGGGGACATCCAGTTTACTCTCCCACCCCAAAGGACCTACTGAACACAAGGACCAAAGGTGACTGAGCCTCAAAACAGCAACACCCCTGTCTCCCAAAAAGAAATCTTCCCAATGACGAAACTCACGGTTTAGAAAGACCCAACTCCTTTTTGGCAATGGAACATCAGGAGACCCCACCTTTCCCTCTTTTCAGGGCACCAGAGGTGCAACTAGCACTAAGGTAACAAGACTTACTGGTGACTTCCTGTTACATTGGTCAATATTGATACCCACTTCCCCTTAACGGCCCTCCGAAGCCAGAGCATGTGTCTAATTCAGGTGAAACCCCCCCATCCTGTGATGGAACCCATCACCCTGTGTGTCCCTCTCCAAGCAGGCAATGCATTCTCACACCGACCCTAAGTAGGTGTTGACTAGGACTTGTGGTTAATGAGCCTGGCACACTCAAATAAAAGAACTCGTGTAAATCCAGGTGCTGGTCTGTCATGTGCTTTGTGCCCGTCTTCATCACTTTGGCACCCCCAAAGGAACAGACATCATAGGCCAGGCAGGGAAGACTGGAAGCCCCTTGAACATTGGGCTCTGAGAACCTCTGAGGTCACACAGGGTGGCAAAGCCAGCCTTCTGCCATTCATTCCACAACTAACATACCGGCAGTCTTTGCATATAGCAGGAGTACAGGTTTCTCTGCAGAAAATTTCCACCCCATACCCTCAAAGCTCAGCAAACCTTCAACAAAGGGAGGCGGAGGCGTGCTGTAAAACACAGGGCCCAGTCTGTGCCCCCTTCCTAGCCCCACTGCTAAGTTATAGAAGGGGCAAACCTCCAGGCAAAGCAAAACCACAAACCAAGGAAAGCCAGCTGCACCAGTTTCTTGAAAAAACGGGGTTTATTGATTTTTTAAACTGCAAATAGTCGTTACAAAAAAGTTTTTTTCTTTTAAATAAATTCACACAAAGAAAGAGAAATAGAAAGCGACGGTAGTGACCAGCAAGAGGAATAATAATTACATTCATCTTAATGTGTGTGTGTGCCAGTTCTGTTTACATTGACATTGGAAAACTCCAAATCTGGAATCCAGAACCTCGAATCTGAGCGGAATGTCTTGAGATGGACACGTGGAAGTCAAAGGGTTTCTCTTTTGTTTTTTTTGTGGGTTTTTTTTTTTTTCCCTTTTAGAAGCTATACATTAAAAAGTTGTTTTCCTTCTGTACTGTCACAGAACTTTTACATACATTCTCAGTCCTAGTTGTGAAAGGCCTAAAGAAAAAGAAACTTAATTTGCAGTCCAACACAAAGGGGGGAATTTCTAAAATAAATAATCCAACAGTTTTTTGCATTTTTTTAAATTAATTTTTCATTTTTTTAAAATAAAATAACCAAAAAAAGTGTAAAGTTACAAAAAAATGTCGTTGAAGAATAATATATTAAAACTGTGGAAAAAAGGAAAAAGACACGTCACAAAATTTTAAGATTAATATGAAGATCATAATTTAACATAAAAGAATATATTCTATGGATTTGTCATCCCGATAAATATGAACAAAATTAACAAAAAAAAGCATAGTTTGGCAATAAATACGTTTTGATAAGTTAAATAAGCTTTTTTATATTGATGTGCAGTGACAAGCAAAATTTTTGCTCTCCAATTTCTGAAAGTTATATGAAGTTTAAAACCCAGGGAAAAAAGCATGGCGTGAGTGCTCTAAGGAAAGACCTACGGTATTCTAAGAGCAAAAACCATTAAAGCTACTTCTACAGGAAATCGTTGTACACAGATATTGTATGTGGAATGAATACCATTAACTGCTCACCCCTTACATGAGTTTTTTTTTTAGCTTTTCTCTCGTTTCTGTTATGATGTTTTTAAAAAGATGTCACATATGAACTGGGGAACTTTAGCACCAAAATCAAGTCTCTCATAGTCCATCTAGCTTCCCCTTCCTCCCCACTTAAAAAAAAAAAAAAAAAAAGAAAGAAAAATTAAATCACAAAGTCCCACTTTAAGTCAAAATCTTCATCCACTTTTTCAGCTTTCCTTCCTGCAGACCTACACAAACCCAGGCAAGATTAGTCAACAGGTGTTCAGGTTGGGAAGAAAAAGTTTTTGAACGTCAGGACAGGTTTCCCCAAAAACCCAAGTCTGGCAATAACTCTGGGGGTGCTGGGAAGAGGGAAGTGTGAGGAGGCTGCAGTAAGGGAAGGTGCAGTTGTGTGGCCAGTGGAGGGAGCTGCTGGTTCTGGGTCTCCTCCCCCTCCCCATGGGCAGAGGCTCTGGAGGCCCACGGGTGCCCTCTGGCGCTGAAGAGGTAATGTAGTCACAGTGACAAAGTTAGATTACAAGGCACTAAGTTGCTTCTGTAAACTGTTACTGCTTTTTCTTTTGTGATTTGGCACTTAAGGCTTAAGCCAGAAAAAAGGCATCTACTGACAAATATGGGACTTGTCTGTTATGCATGGTTTAAGTGGGCTATAAAATCGAGGGGGGTTCAAGCCAGAAGAAGCTACTGACAAATTGACTTGTCCTTACGTTAGGAGGGGGAAGGGGGCATCCAAGGTTCTGGGTAAAAGGGGTTGAGCTTAACCTTGTTAATGTGGGGGTTGGGGGGGCTGGGCTGGGAAGGGAGGTAGGGGTATGGGGTGTGGGTGCAAGGTGGGGGGGGGGCTAGGCAGGGGGTCCCTCCCTACTGGGTTTAGTCATCTGAGATGGAAAGTCTGCTGAAAATGGGCAGGCGTCTTGAGTTGTCCAAGGTGGGGGAGTCTGAGCCACTGTGGCTGCTGCTGGAGCTGCTCAGGTAGCCCTCCTGGTCCGAGAGAGAATCCTGAGGGCTGGGGGGAGAGTCAAACATGTGAGGGGACTCGGACATGGGCCGGAAGAGGAAGGTGGTAGGAGATCCACCTCCAGGCAGCCCCATGCTAGGGGCAAAAAGGCTGGCCAGCTCCTGGCTGGAGAAGGCAAAGGGGTTATTGGAGCCATCAGGCAGGGTAGGTGAGCCCAGGAGGTCCTCAGCGCTCAGGATGGGGGGTGGGGTGATGGACGTGGGGCTGTCCAGCAGCCCCGTGGCAGCGGCGGTGGCAGCGGCACTGGGAAACCCAGCAAAGCTAAAGCTATGCTGGAGGCGGGGACGGTCGGCGGCGGAGAGGTCCCGGGCCCCGGCCAGGGCGCGGCGCTCCTCGGCGTTGTGGATGAAGTGGCAGGGCGGGCGGCGGGGGCGCGAGCC